CGCCCCCCGCGCGCGCGCGCTGTTGCTGCTGCTTACTTGCTTTGTTGCTGCTGCTGCTACTCCTGCTGCTACTGCTTGCGCTTGCTGCTGGTTTGCTGGCTTGCTGCTACTCCTTGCTGCTAACTGCCTACTATATACTACTACTGCTGCCTCCCGCCGTTGCCGCCTCCGCTGCCAGCCGCTGCCGCCCCCGGCGGCCACGCCGTCCTGCTGTGCTGCTACTGCTGTGAGTGGACTATACATGATAGAAAAGAGGAGAATGAGCAGAGCTGCGCATGATGAACGCGTGGCCGATTAAAAGCTGCTTCGAACATAATTGCTTGCGGAATATTTCCACCGCGGGCGAACCCCCGCGCCCGCGCGGACACGCGAGATTAGATCCATCAAGGTAGGCAGCTAACTGCGTGCGTAAGTAACGACCACCAACGCCTACCGTAACGTAGACGCAGCAATACTGATTATATAATAATATATATACGCACGGCAGCACCAAGAGCGCGCATACGCGCAAATAGAGAGAGAGAGACGAGAAAGAGGTACGAGCGTATATATATATAACACTGTGATAGTTACGCACGTACCGATATACCAAAGCACGTACGCACACGCATGCACAACGCACGCACGCAGGCGCACGCATCGTACAGCAGGGACGAGAGACTGTTTTACTGGTGATCATCATGCAACGTCACCGTCAAATCGCCGCAGTTCTCGCAGTTGATCATCGTTAACGTCACCGTCGACCGTCATCGCCTCAGCTTTGCCAGTTTGATCGTCGTCCATCCGTCACTGTCGCGCGTCGTCGTCGACAGCTTCTGGTGACCATCGTCGCAGCGTTATCGCTCATTCACCATCCGCACGTGATATCGGCGTTATATACGTTACGCAAGCTCGGACGGAGGCGAGTACACCTGGGAAAGATTTACCGCCAGCTTGACAGATTCGAAAACAATCCGTAGTGCCCGGTATGACGCTCTTAGCTATAGCGTCAGCTGCAGGTATCGGAACGGCCTAAACCCCGGCCTGCGTTCGGTAATCGAACTCGTTATCTCCCGCCGCCTCCCTCCGACGACCACCCTCTCTTGCGCGTATTGCGCGGAGCAGAGAGGCGCGTGCTCCTCTACCCTGCACCGCGTGCGTGGGTCTTCACCTGACGGTCACCGGCAAGGTCGTACATTCGCCCGTGGACGGACACGCGGCGGTGCTGCCTGCTGCGTACGACAGGTATGCCGACGACGTACCGTTACACTACGGGCTGTCACGCGGGCACGCTCCGCGCGGGAGCACGCGGACACGGGTACCCGCGACGCAGTACATCGCAGCTGACGCCGCCGGATCGTCGGATCCGGCCGGATACGACATCGATCCGCATTCCGTCGATCGCGGCGACGCCGGCCGGCTTTGGGAGGTTGAAGATCCGACGGGGAGTCGGTTCGCATCGGATCTGAGACGAAAGCGACCGGACGGCGACGCCGGCCGGCTTTGGGAGGTTGAAGATCCGACGGGGAGTCGGTTCGCATCGGATCTGAGACGGAAGCGACCGGACGGCGACGACGTTATGGTTTCGATTCCGGGGGCTCCGGATGCGGATCTGAGCGTGACTCAGTACGTGTACGATTTCCTGAACGAGCGGTCGGCGAAGAGAAGCGGATCGAATCAGCGCCTCCGCCGTCCTCCATCCTACGTCTCCGCCGTCGACGCCGCAGTCGACGACGACGACGACGACGCGTTTGCGTTCAGCGACGTCGTCTGGCGAGAAAGAAAAGACGACGACGACGACCGATCGCGACGGGAGACGCTGGACGACTTACTTAGGGCGCCGTCGAGGAAGAGAACGCCGCGCCGGGAGGAAGAGCAGAAAAGGAAGGCGGTGAAGGGTTCGTACGCGAGCTCGTACGGCGAGAACGACACGAAGTCTCCGGTTCAAGCCTCTACCTCGCCGCTGCCGTTCGACGTCGGCCTGGATAGAGACGGTCGTCTGCATCTCTACTGGAACGTCAACTACGACGACGCGACGGTGACGTTGCAGGTATAACGACAAGATGACGGCCGTCTATAACGACAAGATGCCCCCCCTTATAACGACAAGATGGCGGCCACTTATAACGACAAGATGGCTGCCCTCTATTATAACAAATATTGATAGCACACGTAAATGTCAAAATTTGTTCTTCTTCTTCTTCTTCTTATTATTATTATTACTATTACTAGTAGTAGGTAGTACTAGTAGTACTATTAGTAATTAGAATAACATACGCGCGTTCGCGCAACGATGTCATACGATGTCTAACCACACGAGGCAAAAAAGTTGCAGGCATCATTCTGATTCTACCCTTTTTTCTCACGTTTTCCTCCATTTCTTTGTTGTTTGCGCTCTAGTATTATAGGCTCATGATAACACGCGCACGCACAGTAACAGTTCGGTGTTGGCTGTGGTCTTATTAATATTGCCGTGTATATATATACATATATATATATATGTGTGTGTGTGTGTGTGTGT